GCCTGCCTTGAGAGGGCTAATGCTTTCTCATGCTTAATGCTGTCATACTTTCAGATATATTTTATTTATAACCTATAGCACGTTTAAACAGCAGAAGTTGACCCAAAGTGCCAGAAACCCAGTTTCAAAATAAATAAAGGCTGAAAAGTATATTTTGTCGTGTTAACTAATTATTCAGTAACAGCAATACTGACCCTGTATTTATTTGGTATCAGATCGATGCCGAAATTGACGGTATCACACAGGACTAACAGATATCATGACACCACTTTGGTAAGTTCAGACCACGCATGGATCAGCCTATGTCTGTCAGATGAAGTGTTGTTGGAATAACAAAAGGTCTTCTACATCACTGCCCTGACAGCAGCAGCTGTACTGTCTGACTTCCAACCAGCTCTTATACAACATGCATCCTGAGTATGAGGGGTGGAAGTGATCCAAATTCATCAGTAAAAGCAGAGCATTGCAGTTCTCCTTTATGCGTTCCTGTTTATCATTTGGCAGCCGCTATTATGCAATTTCAGAATTGATCATTTAATTTAAGCACTGCTGCTTTTTCTCCAGGTGTGACACCATTCATCTCTCTTGCAGGCTTCCATCCACACCAGTCGGACAGGTTGCGGTGAAATCGGTGCTGCTTCAGAAAGCAGCTGGGCCAGTGGAGGCTGAGCAAGCTGTCAGAACCAGCACTGAAATGCAAATCCCTGTGGTAGACTCCTACGGTGAGCGGACAAATGTATTTGATCATAATTCACTCCAATAGTCTGCCTATATTATCTCTTCTTCATTTTATTGCTTTTAAATTTTACATACATGCTGGTCTAAAGCGCTCGCACAGGTATGACAGCACAAAGATCAACTGAAAGTAAAATAAAATGATGAAAAGTTGTAGCCATCTTAAAGGCTGCAGCAGTACAGCTTCATAAAAGTGCTTCCCCGAGAAGGTGACGATTATGAGAAAATAGTCAATTGGGCAGCTGAGCCTTTCGGCAGCAGTTGCACGGATTAATTTTTGTGTTTGGAACAGATGACTCAAAGCCACTAGAGAGCTGCGCGCACTTTAAACTGCAGCACCGACTGTGGCAAAGAAAATTGATTTTTCTCTCCTCTGTTTTGTTGAAGAGTCGCAGATTTTGCTGGGGTTTGTCCTGCGATCAGAGCTGCTGACGTTCCTGCGTCGCTGGAAGACTGAGGTGAAAAGGCTGAATGGAGACAGAGAGTTCACTGAGGGTTTTTTTTAAAAGCAGCCGTTTAAAAAGCAGAGCGTGTCCGTGCAATCCATTTGACATTGACTGAATGTGAAACAGCTGGAAAAAAAAGATGATTGAAGTAGGATGTGCTGGCAGGACTGCGAACTGATGGAAGAGCTCATTTCATGACAACTCACATCCACTTTAAAGGATTTTCTATTCACAGAAAAATACTTTATTTTATTTTATTTTTTTAGAGGATTACAATAAACTGTTAAAAGTAGGAAATCAGTTTTTCAAGAAAATGGAACCTACTGGTATTAATTCCAGGTCATGCTTAGCTGTGAAACTCCAAAACAATGTCTGCCCAAAATGTTGACTGTATTGTAATTACAAAATTACATTAAAATTTTCTAGTTTCTAGTGTTGTTATGCAAGCACAATATAAAACCAATCAAGGCATTTACTTGACTTGAGTTTATACCATGAATATTTTTCTTAACCAATTATAATTTGAATAAATAAACATTTGATTTTGTATATTTCTGTTGCATTTTACTCCAAATTACCGATTCATGTTTATGAGCAATAGAAAACCATGTGTGTGTGCAGAGTCCGGAGAAACATCTGGATGAAGGATGCTGCATTTACCAAACCTCCATCGTGATATCACCTCACAACACTGTTCAGGAGGTAGGGGCTCTTTGTTAAATGGAACTGGCAGCATTACCAGTTATTGATTTAAAGCAACAGTTGGCCCAACAATTGCAAGAAATCCTGTTTATCACTTTCTGAGAACTGGAGGATGATGCACACTTTCCAAAGCACAAACCGGGAGGCAGTTAGCAGAGCATAGCATAATCAGTTGGAAACAGCTAATAACTAATGAGCTGTTTTATTCACTGTTTTATTCCATTTATGCAAAGACTGAAATTGAAAATAAAAGCAACTGGAGCTAGCTTAGGTTTGAAATATTTAGATATGAGTAAAACACTGATGCAGTCTGTCTCTGAAAATGGACCTATCTGGTCTCACATCTCCTGCTTCTCTTAAGTAATGAGCAAATTTTCTGAATGGATAAACTGAACTGTGTTAACTCTTTATCTCTGTCTATCTGATCCTCTCCACTAGCTCTTAGAGTGCCTCAACCATCTGCCACACTCTTCATCTCTCTCCACCTGTTCTCTCTGCTGTTGTTCTCCTAAAAAGAATGCAGTCAGAATGCCAGAAAATCTCACTTTTTGATGATTAGATCACAAATATAAATACAATAAACCTTTTTTTTTAATGCACAACACTTTTATTCAAGCAAGGAGCAAAACTCATGAGATCATGAATCTCTTTTGTGAGCTCAGGTTTGTCTCTGGCAGGTGAACTTGCAGGTTGCGCAGAGGGTTTATCTTGCTGGGTTGCAAAAGCATCCTCTTCCCTTCCTCACAAAACCTTAAGTTGTAGCAGAGGCTGTGGCACGTGTGCTTCACTGACTCATCGGCTGCTACAGCAACAGGAGACTACACTTCCTCCACCTTCTGGCATTGCCTGCTCCTTGTTGCTGTCACCATCTTTTTTCCTGCAAAATATTTTTATACCCACAGCAAACCAACCAATCAAACAACCAGCAACCAAGTGCCAACAGTTAAAAGCCCTGTTAACTGGTGCTCTCTCTCTCTCCCTCTCTCGCTGCACACTCAAACAAAAAGCTTTGTAGCCAATTAGAGTGAAGTAGATGTTTGAATTGCACACAGCGAACCCAAATCCTTGTGTTTCTGATCAACAATATGCAATTATTTTGGGGGACTTGCTAGACTTTTTTTTTTTTTAAAATAAGAAGGCAGCTGTTCTCAGAAATAATAACCCCCACTACACTGCTTAACAAATGATAGTGGACAGATACTGTTGGATTACATTACCCTAGCACATAAAGAGCAAGATATTTCTCTCGTTAAGTTGGAAGAGACAAAAAATGAAGCCAAATGAGAGCAAATTAAAATTAGATTCAACAGATGGCTGAAAAACACTCTAAACACTCAGTTACTTAAATATGTGAAGATAAAGACAGTCTCATCCACAGGGCATATGATTTAAAAAAAAAAGTCTTCTTTGCAACGTATCTGACAAAACAGCGGGGAAGAAACAAAACAGCGACAACAACAAAAACCCTGCAGTTTCCAGGACATCAGATGAATATTTATGATCTCATCTGAGAAATTGCTTCCATTAACCCTTTTTTCCTCTGCGTGTTCTCAGGCCCACAGTATACTGAGTTTACTCGGATCCCAAACCTTGTTTGTTGCAGACGAAGGAAAGCTGGTCGGGCTTATCACGTGGCCAGAGGTAGGGAGTGTTTTTGTGTACTTTCACCCATGCACAGATGTTACCTTCAACATGCACGTTTTTGTCACATTCCCATGTTCCTCAAATGAGCTTTACTTTGTGCAAACGAGACCACGTCCTTGTATGGATTTGTTAAAATTATGCAGGGCGCTGGGAGAAAATAGCTACTTATGGATTCAAAGCAGTCTCATTTGTTCCTTACCTCCATCTCTTCCTCCTTCTCCCTTTTCTCCTCCAGATGAAGAGGATATTAGAGGACTTGGCCAAAGAAATCTGAGCGACATCACAGCGACATCATCACGTCAGCACATCCTATCAAAATTTATTTTAAATAAACATGTATCCGTCTCTGCCTGATTAGCTCAACGTGTTTAATAATGATGTAATTTCTCTAACAATATTTGCACACCAAACTATACTGTTATCACCTGCAAGCTCCTGTGAAAAACATTTCTCAGAGCCTATTATCTTTCATTTTTATTTTTGTAATTAGAAGGATCTCGTCCATTAAGCAGATAGCACACAGTCTCATTTACTGCTTTGCACTTTGTCTCACAGTAAAATTGTAAGCACAAATAATATTAACCAGTGCTAATAAGAAGAAAAACAGTTTTAAAATGTATACAAGTAATAACAGTCAGTCTCTGTTCAGTATATATTAGGTCCTGTGGGGCGCAACTGAAAGTTATGTGACCATGCATCTTAAATAATAACCCAGGGGCAGCCATGTTTTTTTTTCCCTTTGGGGAGGGGGGTTGGAGGGGGGGGGTCTTTTTGCAAGATGAGGCTTCCTTGAAAATACACCCAAATGTTTTCGTTTTTATTTTTTGCTTATGGCATTTTTTAAGGGATCAGTGTAGTGTATCTTTGGTAAAGAACTGGGCGGATCAGTCCAATATATGATAAGATACTTTGTTTCTATCCTCCAAGTTCAGTGTGTAGCCCAATGAATTGTGTTAAACAAAACATGCACTATGAAAAATGTCTGAACCTTTGACAGTCACGTCTGTTTTATTTACAGCCCACAGCACATTTAAACAACAGAAGCTAATCCAAAGTGCTTTCCAGATGGGCACATTTACATTTCAGATCTCCAAAAAAAAGTTTCAAAATACATAATTGCCCCTTGGGGATAAATAAAGTCTTGGCTCAAGAGTTGGGCAGTTCCGCCTGTAATCGGAAGGTTGCCGGTTCGAGCCCCGGCTTGGACAGTCTCGGTCGTTGTGTCCTTGGGCAAGACACTTCACCCGTTGCCTACTGGTGGTGGGCGAGTGTCCGGCAGCCTCGCCTCTGTCAGTGCGCCCCAGGTGGCTGTGGCTACAATGTAGCTTGTCATCACGTGTGTGTGAATGGCTGGATGACTGAGCGTGTAAAGCGCTTTGGGGTCCTTAGGGACTAAGTAAACCACTATACAAATACAGGCCTTTTACCATTTACCATTTTGGATTCTGATGAAAAGCTGAAAGCTGTGTTTTATTGTGTTAACTTGTTAAAATGTGTTCAGAATTTGCAAATCGATGCTTCAACTCATAAGCTGCATTTATAAGTTCAAAGTAGCGATATTGGTGTTGGTATTAGTAATCGATACCAACATTTCAGTATCACACAGCACTACTTTGGTACACTGACCTATGATTTCTCCTGTGACTTGTATCTATGAGAGGTAATTTTGAAAGTTCAGAAGTTTCAGACTTGGGGTTGTAAAATCAAAAAGCTTGTCCTGATTTAAATTTGGTTTAAGGTCTTCCTATAAGCCCCTGGGCTGTTTTCAGCATGGCTGCTATTTTTAAACCTTTCAGTAGAAGTCCTGTTCTGAGCATTTATACTTATGTGAGCCAGACCTCTATGCTCATGTGACCAAAAGACCTTTTCATTGCGCATGTGCCTTTTATTACGCTGCCACACCTCAAGGTTCAGATCATTCCTGCTGAATTTTTTTCCTCAGCCTCTTTGGGCTGTTATATTACAACTCTGCACTGACAGCCTAACACGAAGCCCTTGGGCTCGGGTACAGTGACTTTTCCACTAAAACTGCAGAAAATTGCTTTGCTCTCTCATCACCACCTCCGTGTGAAATTCAGGTCAATTTGAAACATAACTTCACTTTTCCTCTGCACAAATTTGAGGTCTGAGGAGAAATTGTTGAGTGCACAGTGGAGGTGGTCATAACTAGACTTCAAGGGAGTGATCAACAAACAGGAAACTGGAAATCCACCAAATTCAAACAAGGTAAGGTGCCTAAATTTCACGAACCTATTCACACATTTTGACTGAATCTTATAAACTTGTTGCCCACTGAAGGCCCCCTGAATTTAAAATTATAGCTGCTATGTGTTGAATGTAACAGTTTGTGACTTGGACATCCTTCCTAGAGTTACCACAAGGAAAAGACACTGGCATTCTTCAGTTATGCTGACAGTGTAATAACTATGTAAGTAATTGTTGAGAACAAGGGCAGAAAATAACAAGCTCCAGCGGCAAACATGAATAAACTGGAGTCATCCTTTAAGAAATTCTTTGAAGCAATAAATTACTTTTTGGCTTTCAGGAGCCTCTGTGGCCGCAAGTGGTAATTGCAGGCCACTGGTGCATTAAATTCTGTTGTGATCTGAGTCTGAGTGGCTCCACTTCCAAAACCCCCTTGGAAGCCTTTCAGTTGCTCATGCATTCAATTCCAAATCATCAACCCAAGCCAACAATTTTGCTGTCCATTCATTTCAAGTTAGCACATGGGTAATCTGATTGCGATGAACGAAAGCAGCCACAGTCGCAGACGTTTGGTGGTCAAACATAAGCTCCCAGAGGAGTCGCTCTTCTTCTTTTGCAGGACGCTGCCATCTCGGACTTATTTTTTTTTATCCTTGTCCTACTGTTAGACCGAGGCCCTCTTTTGAAAAACAGCCTCTGTTTACTTTTCTCTTGCTAACATACACTTGTGACCTTTCATTCAGCTGCGTCACATTTAACTTTAGATGCTGCTGCACTGCAGTAATAAATAAACTCCTTAAAGACTTTGTTGATGGATGCGATCACACTAGCCGTGCACAGCCACTGAGGTAACAGAATAGCCACAGCACGCCGCGTGGCAAAGCTTCACTTTGTGTAAGCTTGTGCTAAAAGAACATCATGACAGGAAACAGCAACACCACCTTTCTCCTCTCCCTTCTCTCCCTCTCAAACACACACCGGCTGCACAGTATATTCTGTGTTCTTCTCACTCGTTTTTTTCTACGCTCTCCTCGTCTCTCACCGCTCCCTGCATCTGCTCTCAGCTCGCAGACAGGAAAGTGTGAATTATGGCTAATCACGGCTGAAACTCGGATAATTGGATGTGTGCTTACGTCACCTCTCTATTCACACGAGAAATCCTTAATTTATAAGCGAAACCTTTTCCTTCAGTTCACCTGTTAGAAGAAAAGAGACCACGACACAAACAAGAGAGCCTTGTTCATCACATATATTAAAACATACTTTATAACAAGGTATTTACAGCATATTTCATTTGACTGTTCAGCTCTATATAACTACTTCATGTACATGGAATAAAAAATGTTTTTTTTAATGTCACAGTTGAACTATGTACATTCACAAAACTATATGCCTTAGCTCTCAAGAAAATACTATCCGGAGTCTTCTGAACCTTTTCAGAAAAGCCATTTACAGAGTCGCCTCTTAAATGTCTGCCTTTACTTCTCCTCTCGCTCGTTGCTGGTGGTTGAGACTCCTTACACCGAGGCTCATTTTAGAGATTGCCATCAAGACTTCTTTTTTTACAGCCTAGTTGTAAAAAACATCGTCCTCGGATAAGGAGCTGCTGTCTACGTGGCGGACAGCGGCTTCTGCAATCACAGTGCTTCTGTCCTGAATAGGATGATCTCTGTCCTGGGCGTTGGACATCAGGGAAGCAGAGCTGATTGGTGGTGGTGGAGGGGGGATCAGGTTGACTGCAGTGTTGTTGCCATACACCTGGGTGTGAATGCTGTACAGATGCTGAGGGACGCCAACGCTTCCACCATCAAGCAGGAACTGAGACAGGTAGTGGCTCTGTGCTGCTGTGGAGGGGTATCAGTATCAGTCAGATGGTAGCTTTGTAAAAACAAAAGGAAAAAAAGTATCTGGATTTCACAAACAAGTGAGTCATCACAGGTTGCTGTGATTTTTTAAGAAGGTCTTTACATGGAATGTGGAAATTGAACTGGATTATAACAAAAGACATAACTTTTATTGAAGCCGAAAAACAGAACAGGAACCAGACGTGAAAAACCAGATGAATGAGAAACTAATCACAAAATCCTAAAGTGGGAAAACCAAATACACGAAAACCAGGAACACCAGGAACACATGAATACCTGAGACACGAGGAACTTCGAACACGGGGAGATATGGGAAAGTTAACAGACAAACTGACGGGGAACAAAGCAGAAGACACACACTATATACACAGAGGGTAACCAGGGAATACACAACAGAAGGAAGACACAGCTGAACCTAATCAGACATGACGAGTCAGGGAGGAAGCAAAACAAAATACACTCACACAGAACTATCACCATAAAACAGGAAACCAGAGACTCACACTGAGACGCAGATTGACGGAACATAAGGAAGAGAGGGAGCAAAAGATGTGACCGGGAAACAGATGAATGAACATGAAGACAGAACCAAACCTACACTGAATCATTACACTCTAAACGTGGGAGGCACGGGAACAAACCTAAGGAAAGGCTGAGGAAATTTGAGATGTCGGCCAAGAACTGCAGAGAAGATCACCAGGACCCCGCTGCCCTCTCTGCAGAGCATCTACCATCACAGAGTCCAGAGGAGAGCTGCCTCCATCCTTAGAGACCCCACACACCCCTCAACACGGACTGTTCGCACGGACTGTTTAGAAGTGTGAAATCCAGAACATCTCGACTCAACAGCTCCTTCTTCCCCACTGCTATCAGACTCCTGAACAGCTAAACTACCTCAACCGCAATTTGCACATCAGAACAATTTGCACACTAAGTTCATCGTTCACATTAAGCTCCTTTGTACATCCTTTTACATTAACAACTCCATACCTCACTTGTCTTCAATTACTTATTTTGTACTGATTTATCTTTCACTATTTTTTTAACCTTATTTATCTTAATACCTTGTCTTATTCTTATCCTTATTTATCTCGTTCCTTCGACCCTACCTAATTTGGCATTTGTGTATGGACAGCAAAGGAAGAATTTCATTGCACAGAGAAATGCTCTTTCTTCTGTACACACGACAATAAACACTTTGAATCTTGAATCTTTGAAACCTAAGACCTAGAAATCACCAAAATGTAACCAGAAACTAACTGAAACAAAGCATGACTCCATACTGTGACAATTAGGAGACGTTTCAGTTGGTGAAGTTTCCCTTAAGTTGGAATTTTAGGCAGTAAGTTTTTTTTTTATTTCCTTACAAAACAGCTAACAGAAAAAAAGACAAAGAGTCATGCTAAACAGAAAGCACGTCCTCTTTTTGTTGTAAGGTTTTATGTGTAAGAACATCACAAAAAATAATCCAAACTACATAAATACAACCTCGGCTGAACAACAACACGTGAAATATCAACAAATACCAATACCATGCATAAACAGTTCCTCTGAGATCTCCACCACTACTAGACAAAATAAATCCTGACACACTGATGACGTTTGATGTCAAGTAAAGTAACTGTCAGTCAGTTGGATTCTTTCATGGCTCTTATTTAATAGAGGACAGATTAATCTCCATGCCAAAGCAGCAGTAACAAAATAAAGAAGACAACAGAGCAGCTTACATCACTATGCAGCTATAAATCAGGTATGTTGTGAAAGACAAATTCATTCTTTTATCTTTTATGTCTGTCTGCAAATAAAATCCATTGTCAACATTAAAGCAACGACTTGAAGGTAAAATTATGACTTTGGGATAATAATTAATCAAACCCAGACGGAGACCGTTATAAAAGAAATGAATGCATTTGGTTCATTTGTATTCAGACACAATGGATCGGCCGCGTTCGCAGCATGAAAAACAAAAATGAAATGCCGATAAAGGAGACACCAACCTTGTAAGCTGGTGGACGGCTGCTCTGTGTTGTCGCTCATGGACCACACGTTCATGGCTGCCTCAGCCAGGGCAAACTGCTCCGCAACACCTGCGAGACACAAGCCAAACAAACACATTTCGTGCTGCGCTTCTCAGAAGTCGATCAGTTGTTTTTCTTAAAGCACCACAAGACAAAAAAAAAGAAAAGAGGGAAATTCAATAAGTGCACGAGGTTTGAGTCACCGTCATCAGACGTTCTAAAGGTTATTGATTTTTGTAGATGCTCCCTCGGCACAAACCAATCACACAAAAACAATGTTGGGAGGGATCACAGCATCGTTTTATCTCCACAGAAAACATCTTGTTTTTCCTTCTATGAAACTCATCCGTCTGCCTCACCTGCAGCGAAGCGAGCTTCTTTGAACTCGTCCGTCATTTGGGAATAAAGCTGTTCGTCTTCCTGCAACTCAGCCTCCATGCCCCCCCAGGCGCCGCCTCCTCTACCCCAGGCCCCGCTCCATCCACCTCCGCCTCCCCTGGCTTCACCGCATCCACCCCAACCCTTCCATTCAATCAGGTGCGCAACTCGCCCCTGGGCCATTGCCGTCGGCTTGGTGATGTGTTCCTTTATTGTGGCCACCAGACCTAAATAATGGAAGGAGGACAAGAAGGGATGAAACTCAAGATTAGATTTTGGTTGTCCGGGGTGAAAAGATGGCGCATGCAGTAAGTGTGGTAACGAAGGAATAAGAGAAAGTAATTGAGGGGAAGGCAATGTAAAGATGAAATAGCTCCATGAAAATGATGTAGAGTAGGAAAGAGATGAAAACAGCGAGAAACGAAGCATGTGAAATCTAATAGAGGGCAAGAGAAAGGTGAACTATAATGAGATGGTTGTTGTTTGACATGAAATTCTACAGCTTTGCATAATTCAGGCTTGAGGGTGAGCATTTATTCTTGATTTGCATAACATGAACCATGAAAAGAAGAACTTCTACTGCTGCCGTCTTATGTAGCGAGCCACTGAAACGAAACTGGACAGAACAGAAATGAGAGCATTGCACGCCTCAGGCAGTTCTTGTTTATAACTCTCAGCACTTTAACAATATTGTATGAGTCTCACTTAGATAGAAAACCACTGAAACAAAAACTGTGTGACATTTATCATTTTATTAGATCATTTCAGTCTGTTTGGACTCCTTTGTAGTTAGATAGACATCATAATTGTTAGCTTAACCAGAAGGATCCCACAAATCAGGTGCATTTCCCTCGGGTCTTTGAATATTGCCCTGAATGGAGTCTTGTCAAGCAATATCAAGTCTCCGTGTTCCCGTATCTCTACGCTAATGTGTTATTCATAACCTGCGGAATCACCGGGCAAAACCTCAAAGGATCCATCGTTTAATTTAATCAAAGGAGACAAAAGTTGAAAGGTCTTCGGAAAGGACGAGTTAAAGTCAAATTGACAAAGGACAAACAAAGGAAAGGTTGAAAAGGTAAAGGTCAAAAAAAGAGATGACTTTATGGAAAAAGCAGAAATAAAATGTTAAGACTACAGAAGCTTAGAGGAAAACCAAGGATTAGAAATCAAAAGGTGACTTTGAGGATTGAGAAATGGTGTAAATAAGATAAGGGATCCGAATGTGCTGGACATCTGGGTTCAAGCTGAGAAAAAAAAAAAACATTGGTATCACTTTTTCTTCTTTCCCTTCTGAGCTCAACACCTACTTCTCAGCGTTTTGTTGTACACTGTGACACCCACTTCCGTCTCATGCTGCGTTCACACAGTGACGACTCTTTTTTGCGGCTCTTTTCTGGCTGACTGTTGATGTGGGAAAAACTATATTTGCATCCATTTATGTTATGTGCACACAGCAATAAAATCCCATCTGTTTTCCAAACGGGGTATTTTGCACTAACTGTCAACACTGCGTTATGAAACGGACTAAATCATAATAGGCTGACATAGCTCAGCCTATTTGTTCCCAGAACGCAGTGGGCAGAAGTAAGCCAGGCATGATTTTCGCTGTTAATCTGTAGGTACAGTGCAGACAAGAAACAGTGTTTAAGGGACCGCCAGGTCCATGGGAGGCTGATGCACAGTGTGCTGTTTGGAGCTACTGACTGTGCTGCTGCATACCTCTATAGAGGCCTGTTATTATGTTTCTGAAAAAAAAAAAGACAAAAAAAACTACGAAATGTCACATTTGCATTGTCTCTGTGTGAAGAGAAGTAAAACATTTTCATGAGTTTGCACAGTTAACTGAAAGGGCTTTTTCAAGATGTTATTTTTGTCATCCTCGCTTTTATTGTTTCAGATAATTCTCCTTATCACAGAAGTCTTTTTGAAAACTTCTGAAACATATGCTTGTCTGAGTCAGCCTCAATTATTGCTGGGCGTTGAAAGCAATAAGCCTATTAAGCAGTTGTGAGTGGAGCACAAAAGACAGTGATATTGTCCTTCTTTGCCTTTAGTTTAGCATCTCACCCTATACCCAGCTTGCCTGTTAGGATTACTGGAGCCATATGGATCCTGACAATAACAGCAGACACAAAAAATTCATTTATATTTCTTTAAACAGGAAATGATTTTTTCTCATTATTTTATGCCATTCTGTAAAGCTGTAAGAACAATAAGGTTATACTGTATGATTGACATTTATGCTAACGGAGTGAACTGGGATATATAAGAACTGAATCAGTTGATTTATAGTTTTTAAATGCAGACAGAGACCATTCGTGGATGTACTGATGTACTGAAGGAGGGCATGCAGAGGCTTGGTTAAATGGTGATTAGCCTTTAGCTAGGCAGTCGGCAATTAAAGAGAAAAAAAATTCCCTCAAGACCTGGTAGAGACCAAAAACGTAGCTGAGGTGAAGGGCTAGCAGGCTCAGAGGTACAGAGGATGGATGGTGGATATGCTGGACAGAGGATATTGGATATGGAGCTTCCAGACAGGAGGAATACCACAGAGAAGATTCATGGATGTAGAGAAGGAGGATATTAATGTGAGAGAGGTGGATCCTAGGGATAGGCTGAGATGAACTGCTGTAGAAAGAAGGGAACAGCTAAAAGGAGAAGCTCATAGTAAATGAAACAAACAAACAAGCTGATATATGAGCTGGGTAGTTGAAACAGTTTGATAGCTAAGCACATAGCTAAGAGAGGATTAGCATGTCAAGTTTTACATTTGCTTGGTTGCTTCTACGTAAGATCAGCCAATCAGATCAATCAAATAAGAGTTCAAGGACTGAATTCAAAGGAGACCCTTAGAGACACATTTGATGTATTAGATTTAACTTCACAACTTCAGAGGAATTATGCCATTACTGGGTTTGAATATAGTGACTGTGTGAGCTATTTCAAAGTCAAAACAAACCCAGATTGTTAAGAGGTCTGTGGTACACGAGCTAAAGGCTACGGTCCAGTGGCTCCATGTTGCAGTAGTTAACACATAGGTCTAATATGCAAAACATCCCTTGTTTGAGAACCCGCATAGCTTTTAAGAGTCTGCTTTCAGCCATTTCCACGACTGGTTTGCTTGTCGCCAGCTATTTTCTCCACTAATGTCTCCCCTTTATCATTTACCGTAGCCGAATGGCTGCTCAAATCCGTTTGCTAACTATGCTTTTTGCTCTGTTTTTGATCCCACATTCAAAGTCATTTGATACACACATACACAAGCTTTCTTATTAAAAAAAAAAAAAAAAAAAAAAAAAAAAAAAAAAAAAAAAGGGGCAGGGATAGCTCAGTAGGTAGAGTGGTGGCCCCATGATCGGAAGGTCGGGGGTTCGATTCCCCTGAACAGCTACCCTGAGGTACCCCTGAGCAAGGTACCGTCCTTACACACTGCTCCCCGGGCGCCCAGTGGCTGCCCACTGCTTCACTGAGTGAATGGGTTAAATGCAGAGAGGGATTTTCCCCACGGGGACCAATAAAGTACACTTTCTTTTTTAAATTGGTGTAGAGCTGGCATTCCTTTTAAAATATTGAATGGTTCATGCAAACCAACATTTTCAACCAATGTTTTTTTGCTTGAGTTTTTTTTTAACTTTATAAAGTTGGCCTTAAACACATTATTGCACAACATGGGCAGCTTCAGTAGAGGTGATTGTGGAAACAAAGCAAGCAGTCATAAAAATGAAACTGACAGAAAATATGTAAGAGTCACTTTGCTGTTAAAAATGAGTCACCGCTAAAATAAGACAGGAAATGAGATGATAAATGAAACATTTAGCCATGTTTAGCATGTCAGAGGCAACAAGCATATCAACAATAATCTGAAATTCCTTGGGGACTGTAATAAATGATTCAATGTCTCATTTATTGCAATCAAGATAGTGGTACTACTTAAACAACCAATAAGTCTGGAGTAAGTGATTTTATCAAATAAAAACCAAAAACATATACTGCGTTGTGTGGAGCACGACTTCCTGGTGTGCTTTGTTTATGAGCAAACACAGACAGATGAATAAACTGTGGTTTTAAAATCTGGAGCTGTAGTGTGGGTTTTGCATTGTTTGGGGGTATTTAAGTATTCATTGTTCCCATTAAATGAACCTGCTAACAGCTCTGTAAGGCTCTAAATACAGGCAAAGGGGTGCTCTGTGTATTTACCATGGTTATAGTCTTAAGGGATGTAAATTTGGCCACTGTGAATGGACAGACGTCCATGTTCACACTTATCTATCGTGACAAGCAGGGGCGCCTCCAGACTTTTTTCATACCATGGCCATATGGGGGCCACTAAAAATATTGGGGTGGCACACCAACAACAGAACTTCCAGTTTTATTTCATGTAGGAGTGTGACCTGTTGCCTGTCTCTATGTTGTCTCCATGTCTCTATGCACTGTTCATGGGTTAGCATTACCTTTTGCTGCAGCCTTACTACATTATTACCAATATAGCACAGTCTTGCCAGGGTGGGCCACTGAGGAAGGAGCAGCAAATTAAGTGCAATATTTAGGGGAGCTCCTGAATGTTCCTTCAAAGCCACCATCAATTCTGTATATGAAGCTGTAACTTTGTATTAAATAAACTGCCGGGAACATTCAGCTCGCTTCAAGATGAACAATTACATTTTATGTAGCCACTGTAATAGAGATTTTAAAACACGAAGTTGAAGTGCTGTGTTAAAAATCTGCATTAACTGAACTTAAACTGGAGTCTTCATAAGTTTTTAATTTGTTAAACTTGTTAACTGAACTCAAGAAAACCTAGGGCATTAATTTTGATCTATGACTGTAGGCAAATGTGCTCTTTGTTTACTTTTTCTCATTTAGAAGAGTTGGTTTGATGGCATGCAAATTTGTCCCATTTATTTTCACTTGCACTGATCTGGTCTAAAATAGCCTTCAGAGCAGTTTGCCTTGTTTTCATTGCTGTAAGTAGAGACAGCCATTACTAAATTTAATATTTATTAAAAAGAAATGGCATGTTTAAAATTTTTGTATGTTCTTCAAATTGCACACAGAAAGACTAAAAGGTCTGCTAATGGGCTGCTTCTTTTGAGATGTGATTTAATGAGTTCACTTTGACTAAAGTGCTGGAGAAAGCTGTTATCAGCTTCAGACCGAAAAGCTAAGCTTCCTATTAGATTGAAGCTGAGTTACAGAAGTATTTTAGTCTGTGCATTTTTTTAAATTTTAAATGACCCTTTAGAGATTAGTACCCTTATCTACAATATGCATGATATTCTAACTGCTCAGTTTGAGCACTGTCAGAAATAAAAGTATTGCTCTGTAATTATTAAAAATCTTATTCAGCTGACAGAATTGTTCTAGTTAGGGTGGGGGACGCACCATCCTCACCAGCTTCACTTTTAAGGTGGGGTCCCTCAGGGATCCATTTTTGGTCCACTTTGTGTTTTCATTGTATATGCTCTGCTTGAGTTTAATCTAAAAACAAACAAACATGATATTTCATTTTACTGTTATGCAGATAATTCACAGAATTATCTGCTTAAAATGCAAAACCGTGGCTCTTCTGAAGGCCCTACTAGACTGTCTGGTCTGTGTCAAAACATGAATTGCATTAACTTTTCTTACTTTAAATGAACAGAAGTGATTTTTTGGAGCACCTGACACCCACTGGACTCAGACCTTTAAAAATCTATTTAAAAAACAAACAAACAAAACCTCTGTGAAGAACCTGAGAATGACCGGCGGCAGCTCTTTTCCTTTTGATAAACAGATAAATGCTGTTGTTAAAGCTAGGCTCTTTTAGCTTCATGTGTACTTAAAAGGTGAGGCTATTTCTCTGCTCGACAGACTTTGAAAAAGGCTATTCATGCCTTCATTTCGTGACTTGACTGTTGTAACAGTCTTTATTCACCTGTCAGTGAGTTGTTGCTCAGTCTGCAGCTGGGCTAAAATGTTTGGGTCTTAACAGATCAACCATATTGATTTCCTTTTATCGGCCCCATTTTTCCCGCTGATTTTAAGTCATTCCATGGATTGTGCCTCCTTACTTCTCTGATCTTTTTTTATTTTAACTTTGCACACTCCCACTAGATCTGCTGAGCAGATCCTTTTAGCTGTACAGACGTCCAGATAAAGGAGATCGGGCCTTTACAGTATCATTAATGAACTGTGACTGCACAAAGCTAGCAAGAATATGCTTCTAGTTTTATGGTTTTAATTAAATCTAAAGTAATGACAGGACAAGCAGATTGGTGTTTACAATTGACTTTACCCAGCCACAGCAGTCAAGCAAGAGTTTCTGCTAGGAGGTGGCAACAGCATTTACTGTTATAGCCTGCAGAACTGCTGTATACCACGATGAAAGAATCAGCAGCATTATATAAACTGAAGTTTAGTTGTGATTATGACTACCTTTCAAATGACACTAAATTCACTGAGCACCTTCATACTCTGATAGTGCGAAGCCTATTTCATTTTAAAGACCAGCGTAAACATACGTGTAGAAAAACACTGCATGTTTAGTAACACGGGGTTTCTAAGAATAACAAAACTGTCATTTCTTTTTTAGTCCAATATTATTGCAGCTTTGCAATCTGATGAAGACTTTAGCTTCCCAGAGTTACTAACAGCGCTTTAGCACCATTGGCTCTTAATACAATCACGTCAGCCTGACGCATTCATCAAACAGCATCATACAAGGAGAATAAAAGCAGCAACGGCTGCTCAATATTATTCAAAATGCAATTACAGTGGTACAATAATATTTGCGTTAGCACAGTGTGATCTCATTTAAGCAGTTAGGATGTCAGCTCCACGTCCACAGAACTTACAGTGCCAATTTAAGTGATGACTGAAGACTGATTAAGATTGAGTAAATGTTAAAAAGCCTTTTGATTCTTTTTTTTTATATCACGGAGCCTCTCAAAGCAGGTGCCAGCATCTCAGCCGTCTTCCTGAATGTCTGTATTTGTCCGTTGCATTCATGAGGTTTTCATGGCCTCCGTAATTATTCTGTCACTGTAATAAAGAAGCGTTCACTCGGAAAAGTTCAGCAAGGCATAACACATTAACCGAGATAATGGACCCCCCGCTGAGCGGGGGAAGCAGTCGAGATGAGGCAGACAGACACAGGATGGGGAAAAGAGGAAGAAGACGAGGAGCAGGAAGCCAGAGTTAAAGGTGGAGAAGGAAAAAATACACATGGATGAAGGAAATATGTGTGCTGCTTGGCATTACTGTGTGTGAGGGAGTACGGAAAGACGGAAATGACATTTTAATCTCCCGTAGTTACAAGCACAGTGACTCGTGATGAAGCACGCAGGAATTAAACACAGCATGAACTAAACACGTGTGTGTGTGTGTGTGTGTGTGTGTGTGTGTGTGTGTGTGTGTGTGTGTGTGTGTGTGTGTGTGT